TTCATTCTTCTAAGTTGTCTGAGTGGGGCAATCACTCACATAATTTAGGTGTGGCAGTCATCCTAGTGTATGCTTAATATAGCGCAGACGTAATACTGATCAAGCGTCAACTTTGTCAGTCTGTAGCCTTTCTTTCTTGCCACATGAACCGTCCTTTTCGATTTATATCATACATCGCCTCACTACTGCGGCTAGGAACTGAAGCTGAATTATTTACGCGAGACTGAAGTTTCAACGAAAGCAAACCCGTACATCTTCTCATAAGGAATGTAGGAGTTCACAGATAATGTTTTCGGATCAGATAGCGGATGAATTCAATTTCTGTGTTAATAGTTAACTTTGAGATTTGTTGCGGACGGGAACTGGCGGAGGGCTGCAGTTGAACGCGTTGGAAAAGCGGTCAAACTTCGGGTGTCATCGCCCAGTTCTGCAAATTATGAAGAGGAAAAAACAGTGACTGTTTCTGGTTCAAAACTGGTGCTTAACCTGCATCAAAAGAAGAGTCGCCTGTTCGTTGGTGGTATCGCACCTGATGTTAAAGTAATTAGATTTTTTTTAAGCGTGTTACTGCATTTTTGCCAGTGAAAATCCATTGTGGTGAGATTGTGTGCGTGTGTGTGTGCGGATGCGTGTGTGTGTTCTATTTACGCTTGGAGAACTCCAATACAGCAGATCCACAATCACACTTTGACCTATAACCGAAGTGCAGGCCCAGACTAATGATTAAATCGAAAACCAAAAAGACACAAACTGTAACATTGGTGCTTTAATCCACCAAAGAGTTCGGACAAAAAATGCAGTGATTTCCGCACTTTTTACCGTATAAATCTGAAATGCCTACGACATTACATTTACATCTAAACCGGTTTTAATTTTAACTGCTTTGTACACGCTGAGTTGACTCATAAATCACCGGGGCAAACTCCTATATACTGATACAACATTTTTTTTTCTAAAAGCTCCTGGCCGCATGTTTCTCCTGTTTCATGTTGCTCGTTCTCTGCATAATGTCGGGAACAGCACGAAAAGTCCTGTGGGGAACAGCACGAAATTCCACTATTCACTGAACTATTTACAGATTTCACCAGATGTGCACAATCGAGATTTTTCTGGTGATGTGGAAGACTTAAGAATTCGTGGTGAATCGGTAGGTCTTTGGAACAGCAAGCAGGGAGGCAATCGTAATGTCCAGGGTGCAACGAAAAAAACTATTGCTACTACATCGATGAGTGATGGACTTGGTTCGTTTTCTTTCATACTTCTTTGCAGCACTGTAAATCTCATTTGCTTGCATGCAGCATTAAATGAGTCGCGGCAACTAATAATAAATGGAGACGCTTAACCAGGGCAGCCAGTGCGATCATACGTTTTGTGCAATTCCGCCCACCGATTGCCTGCTAATGATTTTCACTGCTTTGCAGTTTGTCCTGTGAAAAAATAGTTGAAATGTTGTCTGGTTCTCAAGTTGC